TGTCTGAATGTGACAGTTATTGGGTCAGACAGTGTTTGAATATGAAAGTTATTGGGTCAGACGGTGTTTGAATGTGACAGTTATTGGGTCAGACAGTGTATGAATGTGACAGTTATTGGGTCAGACGGTGTTTGAATATGACAGTTATTGGGTCAGACTGTGTCTGAATGTGACAGTTATTGGGTCAGACAGTGATTGAATGTGACAGTTATTGGGTCAGACGGTTTTTGAATGTAACAAGGTATTAAGGGTTTACTTGGTGTTCTAGGAGGGGCGTCTGTGTTCGGTTGCCGAACAAATGGGCGAACAAAGTGAAGAGGGGAATAAGACAGTCGAACTAAGTCCATAAAACAGGGGTTTTCGTCACAGAGTGCATGCTCAATGGTGTCAAAGGCAGCAGAGAGGTCAAGAAAAATTAATATGGTATAGGGGCCTTTGAATTTAGCTGCGATTAGGTCATTACTAACTTTGATAAGCTCAGTCTCAGTAGAGTGGAGAGGGCAGAAGCCAGATTGAAGAGGGTGAAGGAGATAGTTGGAATTGAGGAAGCGAGACACACGGGTAAAGACAGGTACATAACAACTCTCTGCACTATCGACCTGCTTACCTTCTGTTTGGTGCCTAGTGTGCTGGTTGGCTGGTTCTGGAGGATCGAGGTGGACATTTGTGCTGTCAGATTTCTTGAGCAGTGGACCTGATGGACTGAGTGCGGCTGCATTTTTCCTTGGAGTGTGTTGCTGGGACCTTGGAATACATTGGCAGCTCCAACTAAAGGAATGTAAACCATTTAATTACTCTGGGGGAGTTATTAATATTACCATGTTTTTGTTCCCTTAAGCAACCCTGAGAAGGGTTCAAGCTAAAGAGGCTGCCAATATTTAACACTAATTGGCATCCTAATTTATTTTTGGTGGGGTCAAAGATGAGTTATTACATCTAAACCGAATACGGTTGATCCCAAGGGAAGTCTGAGAGACAGTGACAATTCTAATACAACAGTCCGACTCTCTGTTCAAAGACCCTAGCACTTAGATTTTCCTTTTTTTTTTTTTTTAAATGGATCCCAAAAATGATAAAGCAAACAAACAGAACAAAATAGAGAAAGGAGATTATACTAATAAGCCTAAACCTTAACCTGTTAGTTCATTTTATTCACCAAAACATACGTCAAGTTTATCCCCCAGATCTTATTAGATCAAACACTAGATACAAGTATAATGGACGCTTCAACTTTAATAACTAATGGTAATTTAAACCAGGCACTTGATAATTTATACTCTAAGATTAAAGATTGGGAAAGAAACCCACGGAAACAAAGGAAGACATTTCTAATCTTTGCTCTACAATGACTCAGGAAATCACTCAATTGGCTCAAAAAAATATATATTTACAACGTCAAAAAGATTATTTAAAATCCAGTATCTCAAAGCCGGAAATAAAATTTACAGATATTGAGGATAGGTCAAGGAGGCGGAATTTAAATATTTGTGGCATACCAGAATCTGTGGAATATCTGGATACTTATATAACAGATCTTTTGAAAGTATATACCGATCCCAAAGCTTTTGGCGTACACCCTATAGAAAGAGCCCATAGGCTTCCAAGACCCCCGAATATGACCCAAGTGCCTAGAGACGTAATAGCCAGATTTAATAACGGGCAAATGAATTCTCTTTTTGTGAGAGAATTCCTGAAAAGCCCACTTAAAGAGGAGAAATATTCATCTATATCTACCATCGCGGATTAAACTGCAGCAACGTGATCCAGTAGAAGATCATTTCTAGCCATCACAACGTGCTTATTTTATTTCCGGCTTTGAGATACTGGAATTTAAATAATCTTTTTGACGAATGGGAAATGTTCGGTTATTATAAAGTTATGTATTTTTATGTATTTTCTGGTATTGTATTTAAGATGGCGATTTGTCTTTGTCCTGAAGATAATTTAATTACTTCTCAATTATCTCCAGGGCAGAGGGGACCCAGGGGGAAAACCTCCTGTCGGTCTTGAACTCTGCCCGGGCATCGGAGAAGCGGCCAGAGCCCCCTGCCCAACCAGGGGGGAAACTTCCTGTCAGTCCAGAACTCTGCCTGGGCATCGGAGTCCCCTGCCTGCTGTTTGAAATTTACTCTCCTCGACAATCTCCACGAGGGTGCCACCACCCATTTTTGTCCACTTTCAGCGTCGTTTAGGGAGATAAACCTGAAAAAGTGTCCGACCTCGTGGAAGTGGTGCCTGGACATGGCAGGGCAGATCCGACTTTTTTTCTCTGGTCTGGAGCTTGTGGAACTTAGACAATATTCTGACCCCATTTTTGTCTCAGGCCTGGAGTTTACAGACGACTGTCCATCCCCCGCCCGCCTGGCCCCAGGAGGCTGGGGGTAAGCTGGGGCCCGTGGCATCCCTTATCATTTTCGCCAACCGGGGGATGCCACCAGGGGTGCAGGGTTCCCAGGGCAGGCTCCCTTTCCCTGCCCGACCGGAACGGGAGGCCGGGGGCGAGCTGTTGCCCGTGGCATCCATTATCATTTTCGACCACCGGGGGTGCCACTAGAGGTGCAGGGGGCCCGGGGCAGGCACCCTTCCCCTGCCCGTCCAACTCTGGGGGGCAGGGAGCGAGCTGGGGCCAGTTGCAACCATTATCATTTTTGACCACTGGGTGGCACCACATGGGGTGCAGGGGGCCCAGATCAGGCACCCTTCCCCTGCCCATCCAGCCCCGGGAGGCTGTAAGTGAGCAGAGACCCCTGGCGTCTTGTATCGTTTTCGGCGACCGGGGGGCGTCACTAGGGGTGCAGGGGAGGGCAGATTTCGATAGCAGACATGTAAGGGGGAAAACCGCCTGTCGGTCTGGAACTCTGGCTGGGCATAGGAAAACCAGCCAGACTCCCCTGCCTGCTGTTCAAAATTTTTGCTCCTCGAGGGTGCCCTCAGCTATTGTTGTGCACTTTCTGCACGCGTGTCATTTAGGGGGACCAACCTGACAAAGTGTCCGACCTCGTAGAAGTGGTGCCTGGATGCGGCAGGGCAGATCCAACTTCATTTTTTTTCTCAGGCATGAAGCTTGTGGGACTTAGAAACATTTTCACCCTGAAAAGTGGGGACATTTTCAAGGGAGAACTCGCCCTGTGTGAAATGGGCACACAAACTCCCCACAAAGGTTGAATCCCCTGAAAGCCCCCACCTGGGTGACCAACAAATCCAAAACTCAGCTGAGTCCCTTTCATGGAAGTCATAATTTTACCGGTAACTGCCAGGCTCCCATAGCCGAAAATAGTTTCATAGAATCGCGGAGTGCCACTGGAGACTGACCGGCAAAAGGCAACGTTTTCACGATGAAAATAGTTCCAGGGATTTCGTGGCCATGTCCTCCTGAATTCTTTTCTCAGTTTTGGGCCATGCAAACGTCCGCCAGGGGGCTAGCTTTCGGTTCTACTGCTATAGGGAGGCTGGGAAACAGGCAGGCAGAAGGCTGGCTGCTATCAGGTTTACCCAGTAACATCACAGAGGCTGATGTCATCCAGCCACAGTCAGGCAGGCTGACTGCTATCAGGTTCATCCAGTGACATCACAGAGGCTGATGTCATCCAGCCACAGCGCTGGCTGCTCTCTAGTTTACATGGTGACATCACAGAGACTGATGTCATCCAGCCACAGCCAGCCAGCCAAGCAAGCAGGCTGTCAGGCAGCCAGGCTGTCAGGCTGCACTGCCCACGCAGGGCTTCAAGCTTACATCCAGCAGCCCTCATTGAACCGCGTGTTTGCCACTTAAGCCCCTTCTGCTGATTGCCCCCTTCCGCTCGGACCTTAATCCCCCTCTGCTGATTGCCCCCATCAGCTCTGGCCTTAAGCCCCCTGCCTCTGAGTTTCTGGAGGTGGGGAAGCCTAGCTTACACGCCCCAGCAGCACGGCGGCGCCCGTTTCAATCCTGGAAGACGCCTGGTCATTCAAGTTGTCCCTCCGAAGCCCTGCTGCGCCAGCTAGCCATCCCCGCCAGAGAGGATCTTCTTCCGGGCTGGGCAGTGTCAGCTACTCCCTCCCCCTCACTCACTCGGGGGGAGGCTTAAAGTCCCTGCCTGGAGAGCCCTGTGATAAGGTGAATGGGGTGGTCTGTGAGGGAGTTTATATTTCGACTGACTTGTTCAGAGAGGCATATGATTTTTAACCCCAGGGGGAGTGTGTGTTATGGTGTGTGTGTATATAACCGAAATGAATATTTAGTTATGGGCCCCTGGGGTGGAGCATTTGGAGAGCAGGGTGGGCCAGTGCTCCACTCCAGGGTTTTTGGACTGTCTCCAACCCACTGCTCAGCTGCAGGTAATCAGCTGCAGCAGTGGGAATAAACCCCTCTCTGCTAGGCAGGTAAGAGGAGAATGTTTGTTTGTTTTCTCTCTTGAAGAACTGGCAGCAGCAGGCTGACTAAACACTGGAGTGCAGAGAGCTGACAAAGACACTAGGTTGTTGAAACCAATATTATTTTGTTATAGCTTAACCCTGAGAGATAGGGGATCTGATGTTAGTTAGTGCTCAGACAAGTTAGGTTTTTGTTTATAGGAATTTTGTTACATTATTGTTTTTTTTCATCTACTGCTGTCTCCTGTGTGGATTTACCAAATAAAGTGCTTGGAATTAAGTTCCTTTTAAAGACTGTGCATGTTTGTACCCAAAAGGACCGTGCTACCTGCAGACAAGGATCACAGCCCCCTCTACCTCCATCCTGCAACACACTCCTCTTCCCCACTCTCTCTCTGTCTCGGTCTCTCCCTGTCTGTGTGTGTTGTCTCCACGAGGATGAAGTGGGATTGTTCCCGAGAGCAAGTTTGCAAGGCAGGACAGAGCAGGTAGGGAGAAGGAAGGCAGAAGCCATCCCAGCCGCCGCAGATGTGGTGGACGACCACCGACCAGCTCCCCACCGCCGCCCCCTCTCTCTCCCCCCAACCCCATGGAGGCGGAGAAGAGGGGGCTGGTTTTCTAGAGAGAGACAAAAGCTTGGCTCACAGGATGACTTTCAATAGATTGCAGTGAGGTAGCTGCTCTGCTACTCACGAATCCTTGACCCAGAACCCCGTTGTTTATGAATTATAATAGCGAGCTTTTGCGCGTCTGCTCCACGGGAGGTTTCTGTCCTCCCTGAGCTCACCTTAGGACACCTGCATTACGGTTTGACAGGTGTGCCGCCCCAGTCAAACTCCCCACCTGCCACTGTCCTTGGAGTGGGTCGCACGCGCCGGGCGCTTGGAGCCAGATGCGAGAGCCCCTCGGGGCTTCCCAGCCACCTCACCGGGTAAGTGGAAAAAAAAAGAGTAGTGGTATTTCACCGTCGGCGCCCCGTGGCTCGCGAAGGAGCGGGGGCCTCCCACTTATCCTACACCTCTCTTCACAGTTGCAGACTAGAGTCAAGCTCAACAGGGTCTTCTTTCCCTGCTGATTCCAACAAGCCCGTTCCCTTGGCTGTGGTTTCACTAGATAGTAGGTAGGGACAGTGGGAATCTCGTTCATCCATTCATGCGTGTCACTTATTAGATGACGAGGCATTTGGCTACCTTAAGAGAGTCATAGTTACTCCTGCCGTTTAGCCGCACTTCATTGAATTTCTTCACTTTGACATTCGTAGCGCTGGGTAGAAATCACATCGCATTAACACCCGCCTCGGGCCTTCGCGATGCTTTGTTTTAATTAAACAGTCAGTGTAGCGGAACGCCAATAATAAATCCACGAATTCCGCTGGTCCAGAAACGAATCCACAGTCAAGCGCTGAAAACAACAAGGCAATATCCCCAACCTCCCAATAACCGGACGAGACACAGTTTTGGGAGTCAACTGAAATCCTTTTAATCGGCAAGACAATTTATACAAGTCCCCATGCAAGGGGTTTCCTGAGTCCCTCCCCAGGGGCACTCCCAGAGGGGACTACATGGGGGACTTACAGTATAACATATTTCTCCCATCAGGCACTGCTGCACGATAGGGATCATCCTCCCAGAATGCACCGTTAAGGGGATTATCCCCTCGTGCAGCAGAACCGGCAATTCATACAAAAATCTATAACTTTTAAAATACACGGTAGATTTACACGAATGGACGTTCGGTAGATAGCTGGGGTCTGGGCGCATCATTCGTGAGATTGCCGCTCAGATCCCAGCTAAAATAACCGAACGCCGCACAGAAAACACATTTCTTTCAAAACACACGAAAAGAACCGATTACTTTTAGTGAACCTGGTCCTGAAACTCCCGAACGTCCTGGAGGCTCAGCGGTGTTCGTGCCGTCGAATAGCTATTGGTAATACTATGCGTTCGACAACACGGACCCGCTGAGGAACAAAGGATCCAAGATGGCCGACCGCCGCATGGTCGGTAGTCGAACGACGGCCACCCAGGAGAGCCTCTAATTACCGATTGCAACATTGTTGCAATCGGTTAACTAGCGCCACACGCCTCTAAGTGTGTGGGCTATTAGGGGGTATCGCGTTCGTGAAACAAACGGCCCTCCAAAGTGCCGTTCGTGAAACGAACGGGAATCCCCATACAAACCGCCATTGGCATTCGGCGAAACAGGTAATTACAGTCTCTACAGAAAATACATCAAGCACATACATAAGAATAAAGCGCATATCTCCCCAGACCTGTAGGCAACCCTTAAAGGCACAGTCTCTAGTTATTGTCCAAGTGGCTAGGTTTGCCACAATGCTCCCCCAGAACCAAGCCGGCATACACAGTCTGATCCCAACGGATCGGCTTGGGGATGTCCGGAGGAGTGCTCACAGATCATTTCTCAAGGTCTGTTTGTCTGGACAACCCGTCGGCATTACCGTTTTGTTTCCCTGGGCGGTAGTGAATTGTAAAGTCAAAGGGCTGCAGCGCCAAACTCCAGCGCAGCAGCCTGGCATTGTCTCCAGCCACACGGTTTAGCCACACCAACGGGTTGTGATCTGTGAGCAAAGAAAAGGGTTGCCCATAGAGATACGGCTGTAACTTTTTCAGGGCCCACACCACGGCCAGGCATTCCTTTTCTATGGCGGCGTAGCTCACTTCTCGGGGTAACAGTTTCCGACTCAAGTATGCTACGGGGTGTTCTCCGCCATCGGCTCCGACCTGGCTCAGTACTGCTCCCAATCCAAACATTGAGGCGTCTGTGTGAACAAGAAAACGTTTAGTTGGATCAGGAGCAGCCAGTACAGGGGCATTGGTCAGAGCCGTCTTCAGCTGATTGAATGCCTGTTCACACTCTGGGGCCCAGACGACCTGCCGGGGCAGGTTTTTCTTCGTCAAATCAGTCAGGGGTTTGGCCAGGGCACTGTAGTTGGGTACAAATTTTCTGTAGTACCCTGCGGTACCTAGGAAAGCCAGGACTTGGGTTTTGGTCCTAGGGGTAGGCCACTGGGCTACAGCTTCAATCTTTGCGGGCTCAGGCTTCTGCTGCCCGCTACCAAACCGGTGTCCTAAGTACTGGACCTCTGCCATCCCTATGTGGCATTTGCTGGGTTTCAAGGTAAGCCCTGCCTCTCGGATCCGATCTATTACTGCCCCTATGTGTTGTAGGTGCTCCGACCAGGTCTGACTGTATATGGCAATATCGTCCAGATATGCACACGCATAGTCCTGGAACCCGTCCAGTAGCCGATCCACCATCCGCTGGAAGGTCGCGGGGGCGTTCTTCATCCCGAATGGCATGACTCGAAATTGGTACAAGCCAAACGGGGTGACAAACGCCGACTTAGGGATGGCGTCCTCGGCTAGTGGAATTTGCCAGTATCCCTTACACAAATCTATGGTAGTGAGATACTGACCCATGGCCATCCTATCAAGCAGTTCGTCTATCCGAGGCATCGGGTAGGCGTCCGACACAGTTTTGTCGTTCAACCTCCGGTAGTCCACGCAGAACCGGGTGGTACCATCTTTCTTGGGAACCAGGACTACCGGCGATGCCCAGGGGCTATCTGAGTGCTCAATAACCCCCAACTGCAACATCTCTTCAATTTCTTTCCTCATATGTTCCCGCACGGATTCAGGAATCCGATAGGGAGTCTGTCGCATGGGAAGCTGTCCCGGGGTTTCTACTCGGTGGGTGGCTAGTGGAGTGTACCCAGGTAGGTTAGAAAAGGCGGCGCCCTTGGTTGCTATCAGTTCTTGTACCTGGATACGCTCTTGAGGACTTAGCCGCTCCCCCAGTTGAACCCCCTGGGAGGGTTCCTTCTGCTCCTCCTGCTCTAACAGATCTGGAAGGGGCAGGTTCTCCTGATCTTCGGAGGCGGGCGTGCAAATAGCTGCCACGTCCTCCGTCCGCTCGTGGTAGGGTTTGAGCATGTTCACATGGAGCATGCGTCTCTTCCCTACTCCGGAGCATGGGCCGATCACATAGGTGGTATCGCATCTCTGCTCTACCACCTGGTATGGGCCCTGCCAGACGGCCTGCAGTTTATCGGTGCGGACAGGTTTAAGGATTAGCACCTTCTGTCCCACTTGAAAACTACGGTCTCTGGCCCCTCTGTCATACCAACGACGCTGTAGTTGCTGGGCGGCCTGGAGGTTGGTGCGCACTGCCTGGGTCAATTCCTCCAGGCGATCCCGGAACGCCAGCACGTAGGGTACAATTGGGGTCCCATCTGCGCTACTCTCTCCCTCCCAATGCTCTCTAATGAGATCCAACAGCCCCCGGACCATTCTCCCAAACAATAGCTCAAATGGGGAGAAACCCGTGGACTCTTGGGGCACCTCTCTGTATGCAAACAACAGATGGGGAAGGAATCGTTCCCAGTCCTTATGGGTCTCTCCGAATGTCCGGAGCATCTGTTTTAGGGTGCCGTTGAATCTCTCACATAATCCATTGGATTGCGGGTGGTAAGCGGAGTTAATGATCGGCTTAATGCCACATATCCTCCATAACAGCTGAGTAACCTCAGCCGTGAATTGGGTCCCCCTATCGGAGACCATTTCCTGTGGGAACCCTACTCGGGAGAATATCTTCATCAAGGCTTCGGCTACGGTCTCAGCGTGTATATTAGTTAGGGCAATCGCCTCGGGGTACCGGGTGGCGTAATCCACCACGGTCAGGATATACCGTTTCCCAGAGGGGCTGGGTTTTGGTAGTGGCCCCACTATATCCACTGCTACATGGCTGAATGGTTCCTCAATTATAGGTAGGGGACACAGTTTTGCCTTGTGGCGATCCCCCCTTTTGCCTACCCTCTGGCACACATCACAGGAGGTACAATATTGCCTCACGTCTTTAGAAATCCCGGGCCAAAAGAATGCGTGCGTTAAGCGGTACCGGGTCCGGGTCATTCCTAAATGGCCAGACAGAGGGATATCATGGGCTATTCTAAGTAACTCCTGCCTATACTTCTGGGGCACTACTAGCTGCTTGGTTTGGAGCGTCACCGAATTGCCTATTGCCCTTTCCGCCACCCGGTATAGTAACTTCTTCTCCCACCTGTACTGTTCTCCCTCCCGCCCCACCTGGTCCGTATCTACCCTATCTCGGTATACCTGCAGTGTGGGGTCTGTCTGTACCTCTACTTCAAACGTGGACGGGGTGTCCCAAGTCATGTCCGTCAAGGGGGGGTCATGATTTCTTACCTGAGCCTCAGAGTGTGCGGGGAATGCCGTGGTGCGAGCCTGTTGCCGGGTGGTTACCGGATGCGCCTCCTGTGACGGGGCCTGGGGTAGAAAAGCAGAAGTCATCTGGCCCAAGTCATTCCCCAAAACAACATCGGCCGGTAGTTTCTTCATTATGGCCACTTCCACAACCCCCTCCCCAGCACCCCAATTCAAATGCACCTTGGCCGTGGGTAACCGGTACATGGCTCCCCCTGCTACCCGGACTGCCACTGATCCGCCAGTGTGGGCCGTATCAGGAATTAAATGGAGGGCCACTAAGGTCAAGGTGGCTCCCGAGTCTCGCAGCCCCTGCACTTCTTTCCCTCCCACAAACACAACTTGGCGGTGATGTCGGTTGTCCGTGGCTTGCACCGACATCACCTCGTACAGAACTCCCAATGGTTCCTCGGTTGGTAGACTTGTCAGCTCTGAGTGGTCAGGTTCTGCGTGGTAAAAATGGGCCGCCGCCCTGGGAACGGAATTCTGCCGTACCTGGTTCCACGCCTGCCTGCTACGATTCTGGGTGCACTCCCGGGACATATGCCCCCACTGCCGGCAGGTATGGCATTGTATGTTGGCCCTGCCATTGTAGCGGGCTGGCGGTGGGGGTTTCCTGGTGGTGGCCTGAATGGGGTAGAGTTGGCGGGTGTGGAGCTGGCTGGGTGGTGTTGTATTGGCGGTCTTAGGGGACCCCTGTTGGTGAGCCCATGGTGTCTCCGGGCATCAAAGTGTTCGTCTGCCAATCGGGCGGCTGCTGTGAGGGTGAGAGGTTTCCTGTCCCTTACCCACTCCTGTGCCTCTGGTG